AAGAAAGCCCACATACTGCAGGTGCATTGCACGACACACCCGGCGTGCTTGTTCCCTTCCAGAAGGTCGCTGCCCATGGTTGCAAGCCGATGCTCACCCATCCTCTCCCCTCGAAACTCGTTGCGTCGGTGAAACGGTACTACACACCCTTTGGCCAGGAATCGCTAGGTTGGCATTCCCACAATTCGAATGGGCCTTTTGCTGTGGGGGCCGCCGCCTCTCATAACGACATTGCCGTGGCTGCACCTTGGCCACGGCCCGTTCTTCCCACCAAGGGCAGGACCCAATGCGACCCGTACATACGATCGACCAGACAGATGAGAAGCACCCACCTCGTCTCGCAAGCAACCCCCAGTTCAAGGTCCTGTTCGGAGCCTATTCAAGCAGCATGCCCTCAGGTCCTATGCAGCAGCGATCTTGTCGTTCTCCACCTTGACGTGAGGCGGCGCGCAGCTCCACGAGGCCTAGCTTTGCCAGGTCTAGCTTGCGAGGTGTCGTCGGGGACGGGTCTCTCCGCTGTCAGGACTCCCGGCGGCGGCGGCAGCAAGTCTTGCCACTGTGCCGCGTGTGCCGCGAACTGGCAGGACTTCATAGATTAGGCGATGCAAGGTTATTCTTGAGAGAACAGCGTCTACGTTTGTCAACCGGAGAAATTTCTGTCCCTTCGACTACTTACAGGTCTGGAGCAGGCTGAGGATTCTTGAATACCACCTTGGCTCCCCGAACCTCCCACGCTCGTTATACATAACCTGAATCGGAACGGAACGTTTGCACACGTTGCACTGCTGCGGGCGATCTGCCTCTTGGAGAGGCCGGCAGCACCATGCGGGCCTCCCAAAAAGACTTGGTGCGCTGCAAGAGGGGAGCTGACAGCAGCACAGAGACCCTCCCAATCCCAGGCCTTGTCTGGCCATAACACCGCGGATCATGTTCGATCCGATGATGGGGCCCTCATAATCACAAGCAGACATTTCGCCTCAACCAGCTACGATTGGCCTTGTCGCGGCGCCAGCGGGATGAGCGCCTGCAGGCTCCGTCCACACCTCGAGCAGCGGTGCCATGTTGACTACGGTGTTCTCACTCAATGATCGGCACCCAGGGGCCTTGACTGCAACACAGCGTGGATTACCGGAGCAGAGCACGGTAGTTTACCTTGCACTTCGGCCACGCACCGCGACGTCCGGGGAAAGACATCACAAAACCCCCCACCTGCTCTACCCACACCAAAGGACCTCAAACTTGTACCACACTCCAAAAACACCCGTCACAATTTTACCAAGACCCCAATCACATCCCGCTCAACAATAATGCCGGTGTTGTTTGAGCTCCAGCAATGGGCCCAGATCGCCGGGATCGTGATAGAATTGAACAGGACAGGAATCAAGGCTTTAACACACAGGTCTTAACAACAAGGATACATCCCTCTCAGTGGGCCCTGTGATCTTTGCCAACGCTACTGCAGTCGCAGGCTCCCACGAGACCTAAATTTGGAAATGAGTACGGAGTGACCAAAGCAGATTTGCTCACTGCCCAGTCACATCCTGTCATGTAGTACGGTACGTATCTGGGTGGTGCCGGGACCCTAGCCGATGCAGATGACGAAGGACAGAATCCATGCCCACAGATTCGATAGCAGCTCCACTATACCTCCCTCTCAGATGATCCCCGGCAATCTTGACGTGGTCCCCACTGCTCGAGGACCCGACGCTCTGGCACCGGGGACCAGGGAGTGCGGGTGCTTGAATGGGGGTGGCTTTCCCATCGCGGGGCATCGTCCCACTGCCAGAACGGACTTACCAGCTCCTCGGGTCCATCCAACATCTGACAGCTTGCATGACTGCCAGGACAGAGATTTCCAAATGCCTTTTTAGCGAATGGTGGGTGATGGTCGAGCTCATTTCACTTTGACGCCGATCCATGAGCTGCAGCGGATACAGCACACACGAACAGCTCGAGGCAAATCGAGCAGTGCATCTCACCGCCACCATGGTTGTCGGCCCGGAGTCTGAGTGACAAGCTAGATATGCTACAGATGTTGAGAGTTGCATCCATCACGGTGGTAATTTGACTAAACGAATCATCCCTTGCTTCTCACCGTGTGGGGGAGACAGTCCAGATCAGGCCCAGGAATCAGAGACACACCTGGCCTCCTTGTGAGCCGGCCTCGCTTGGCGTCAGCTCATTTTGATGGGGCCTTGGAACGACACGGTGCTGTCTGAACCCCCGGGCTGCATTAGCCCATGAGGAAGAGCGTGATGTCGCAAAGCTACACTCATCTCCCCTTGGCTACAGAAGCGGACCTGCGCACTAGGCGGAGGCAAGGAAGTCGAGAGGACCAACAGGGTTCGGATGAACGTGAAGGAGCCGTCTTCCGCGACACCGCCAGTCTGGTAACTACTGGGAGCTCCCGTCTGCCGGCCAACCCAGCCTTGGAATGCTTTAAGATGAGATGGACCCTAGAGGTTTCGGCGCCGGGGAAAATGCGCCATTTGGCGGCATGTTGGCCGCCATCGACGCCCTCCAGCCTCCAGCAGGGACTGCGGTCCCAGGACGTCGGGTACAGAGACCAGCCACCAGCTATCGTCCATGCCTGATGCTTGCTGCGATCCTCCAGGCTAATGGACGTAGTGCAATAAAGCACATATTAAATATTGATCATTTGCCTGGTCGCGGCATTCTGATCGCCACCCATGGCAAGGTTTAAGCACCACGCCCAGCAGCCGGTCTAGCAGACACGAAAAGTTTCCTCCTCTCGGGTACGACTTGGCTTCGGCGCCGGCATGGTAGCAGGTGGTCTAGCCTCCCTGTCAGCCATCTGCAGCCAAAAAAGCAAACGAGCTCGGTGAAGATGATACTGGCACGGCGCAGAAACTAATTGATCCTTCGCCATCACATCACATCACCATGCAGCCGGGCCCAAGAGGCCTGCCAGATTTGCGCCGACACCGACAGTCTGGGTCGACTAGCCTTCCCGCCGCCCCTGCTCACCACCTCCAGACAAGATCTAACTGATGCAACACCGCACGCTTGAGCTCACCCCTTTCGGTTAATCGTGCCCGTCATCTTCCTCCCAGACAGTACCCACATTTGAGGCATGTCAATCGATGATTGACTGATCATATTGCAAGACCGTCAGCTTGCGGCAGACCACGTTCTTCTCCCCCCCTCTTCCCTTGGCGGTCTGTTACGTTGACCATTCCAAATCAGAAAGCATGGCCCCATCAACTGTGTCGATCGGCCTCCCCATCTGGCTGGATGTTGACGTCTAGGTCCCACGCGGAAATCCCCAGCGACTACGAGACCCACAGAGACATAGACCCGTATAGACAGTGTTCTTGGTAGGGGCCCTTTGGGCGAACAAGTCTTAGACCTGGCTCGGCACATAGGCCATCCGAGATGAGGAGCCACACCCCATTGGAAGGTGTCGCTGGTGATCTCGGGATCCTCGTCAATCTAGGTCGGCGATCATAAACATCATGCACAGGGGCTTGAGTCAGCATCGCACACTCAGTACCAATTCCGCATCGACGGTGCATTTGCTGGACAACGCCGCCGCCGCGGTACCAAAATGCCAAACAATGATGGCCCCGGGTCAACCCACCGCCCTGAGAAATGCCAATCACTCTTACACCGTATGTACGTCAGTACTGTTGACTGCGCTTATTTGCACCGCATAGCAATCAATCAGCGTCTCAATGGGGCGCCGGGCAGAGCCGCCTCAACAAAACACGAGTGTTGTGTGGAGAGATGGATGGGATATGATCTCCACTGCTGTTCCCATGAGACGAAGGAATCTTCTCATTGTCCCGTCCGACGTCCGGAGATTTGCGGCAAAGCCCATCGTCACATTCGCCCTGTGGATGGCCTCAGCACCTAAAATACATTGTGTGTAGTACTGTATACTGTGAGCATTGGTCGCTGCCTGTGCACGCACGTTCCATGTCGTTTCCGGGGTGGAATGGCGATCCAACGTGATGCGTTGTCGACCTCCACCCCTCCCAACACAGGCACACATGTTACAGTCCAGAGCAAATACCACACTGATAGTACAACACTAATAGGCTTGATAGGCATAGAGTGGAGGAAGCCCGCAATCCTACTACCACCAACCCCTGCCCACCCTTGCCCGAGAGAGCAGCATGGACCCTCGCTTGGGCGCGTGGTACTTTGGGGACTTGGCACACACCGCCGCCACCACAGGGAGCAAATGGGGACCCACGGCGGGACAGCGCGTCCGGAAGGATTCACCAGAGGTTTCGCCCAAGGAAGCAAGGCAAGGTGCGGCCGCCAGGATTCTTCACCAGGGGTGCCGCTCGCCTCATGCGAATCGGCGGAGGACAACACACTCTCTCGCACACGCACACGCACCCCTCCCCCCGGTCAGCAATTTTGAGCCTCATTCCCACACAGCGTTCGGGGTGTTCTGGACTCCCCAAGGACATGGGACGCGGACGACGCCTGGGTAAGCAAGGGCGAGCACCACTGGCTGACTGAATGACTGACCTACTGGATTACTGGCCTCTACTGGCCTTGCAGCACTTGGGCGATTATAGTACGACGCCCGGAGATGGTTGCCCCCAGGCCTAGCCCCCCACCCCGAGCTTTTGGCCCCCAATGGGTGTCATGGCATGTGCTTGTTGGCGGGTTGCAATCTCAAGGTACCTGTCTAACAATATGCATTAATTCATCCTCAAGGCCTCTCTCAACTCTGTCATCTAATTCTAAATGTCTAACTTCATTTATGCGCAGTTTTCTCTAGGTATCTCGCCCCTCTCGTTGCTTTCTTGCCCAGCAACGCAATGCCATTCCCAAGAACTAGTCTCGTCCCGCTGCGGGACGGAACGTCCGCCCCCCGGAGCGCGGGAATTTGAGTCGTGCCGCGTGCGCCAACAACAGTAGTAGTTTTTTCGTTCAACCACATCCTGGTACACACCTCAGCCTGGCTCACGTCCGACGGCGGCGAGACAGCAAGGTCCCGTGTTGCTCACGACCACGTCCCGTCAGAGGTCCTGGACCTCGGAACGCCAGCCCCAGCAGCCAGGAGGGTCGTCGGCCGTGAGCAGGCGCATGCCCGACGCCCGGCAGACCTGGATGGAGGCCTGTCTCACGGCGCGCACCTGCTCAACGCTTGCGCCGCCGTTCAGGGCGCCCCTGAGGTGCCCTTTGAGTTGGGGATTTACCTGTTGTGCCCGCATTAGCTCCGGCGCTGCTTGTCGCTCGGCTGCGCCAATCCTGTTCGCCCTCCTCTGAACTTGCCTCTCCCCAGGCTCCCTCCCCCCTCTCGGGCGGCGCCACTGCGACCCGTTTTCCTCTGTTCTTTTGTATGATGGGCGGGTACCTCACAGGCGGCGCCCAGCGCGCTACATGCATCCACCCAATCTCGTTCCCCCGTCCCCCATCCTGCTTCTACTTGGTGCTAGGAACAGGCACCGGGGCGATCACTCCTTGATGCCTGATAATGTCCTCAGGGAGGTTTTTGAGGGGCTGGACTCACATCTTGCGGTACCAGGCCCGCAATCATGACGAAGGAGGTCTCGGCCTCGGAGAGTACGGAGGTGGTACTGAGGAGATAGCCATAGGCGAGGCGCACGGCAAGGCCAAGGTCCTCGGTGCCGCAGTGGTCCAGGGACGTCATGACGCGCGGGGCCACCTTGCCGTAGCACCCGTCAAAGAAGCGCCTGCCGCGACGCAGGACGTCTGGCGCGGGCGTGTCGTAGACATCGCGGCGCCGGTTGGTCGGGGACCCGCCTTGCGGCTCGTCGAGGCACCCCGGCGGCACAGCCTTGTTGAGCTCCTGGAGGGCGTTGATGGTCTACGTGCACAGGGGAGAGACATAGGTCAGGGCATGACAGGTGGAATCGGGTCAGTCGGATGGGTTGGGGGCAGAAGCGGGCCTCGGGGGGGGGGGGAATCGAATGGGAGGGCAGGGCAGAGCAAGGGCAGCAGGAAGGAGGATGGCGACCCGCTAGACGCGGGCGTCGTGGTTTGCCCTCTCGTAACGGCTTTGCCCTGCCCTGCCCTATCTGCTTGCTTGCTCACCTTTGGCAGCCCGCCTATGGCGGATGTCTTGAGCAGAGCCTCGCGCAGGCGCCGCGCTATTCTCAGTTGTCGCGCGTGATCTGCGACCGCACCCGCGGTACCTGCGCCTGGGTCTGCCGCCACGGCGTGCTTATAGACGGCCTGGATCTCTTCCGGCCTGTTCAGGACGCACAGCGTAGTAGCGACGACGGCGTACCACATGTCGCTTGGCATACCTGGCTGGCTGCGCAGGGTGTCCAGCAGCCGCGGGGTGAGGGCGGTGGGGATGTTTCCGGACATTGTGACGGTGGTGCGTCGCGACTGTGGTGAATCCTTCGGGACCTTCCAGGTGGGGGCTGTTTTCCCTTACCTCTGGCTGTGCCGTACAGATGGCACAGTGGGTTTATTTAATTGTGTTTCGATAGGCGCCGGGGGCGTTGGACATTCAAGCTTTGCCGGCAATTAATCAGACGAGAACGGCGCTATGAATCCCTCGGCGACTACGTAGTTTTGGTAAGCCCGTAGGATGATGGTAATCCCGTAGGAGGATTACGGGACGAGTCGCTCCAAGTGGACCTGGAGACCAGATGTGACTCCCGGCGATGGCCTCGGGAAGGACTTGCAATCCTATCAGCAACCATGACGGGCAGACGGACAGACGGACAGACAGCATCACGGCCCCCAACTTCGGGCCTGCATCGATATTCCGGTAGGATTGCCGATCGAAGGTTTTCTTGGTTGGAGTGGAGGGGGTGGAGGGGGGAGACACAAGATCCATCGTGCAGCAGTCAAGGGAGGGAGGCCCCCACCAATGAATCTGTGTCCGTTTCTGACTGTCTGTTTGCCGCGAAGGCACTCGGAGGGTAAGCACCCAAACCAACAGACCAAAGGCAGGAAGGCTCCTTAACCGAGAGAAGCATGCACTGCGCGATAGATCGTGTGTGTGAGTGTGTGTGGGTGCGCGCGTATGCATGGGACCACGAAGCAGAGGAGCATTGGGGGCCCAAAGCCGCATCGGAGCCTTTCTGCCGAGCCGTGGGTTGCGCGCGTGTTGGTGAGTGTGGTGTGGTATGGTGTGGTATTCTATGCGCAGGGTTACCAACAGAGAGAGGACCCAAAAATAGTGGGCTACTGCCGACAGCGCACAGGGGGGGGCCACAGGGCCACAGGGCACTGCCAGGCGCCGAGGGTGGCTATGCTTGCCGTGCGGCGGAGTGCTTGCTTTTACACCACAGTAGGGCTGTGTGAAACGAGCACCCTATCTTTTTTTCCTTGCTGCTTTGCTGCTGCTGCTGCTGCTGCTGATGCTTGCTACTCGCGACCGACCGCTCCGAACCCGACCTGCATGCAGACACGTTGTTGTACCTGCCTGGGTTTATCGATTGTTAATTGATCTATCTCTTTTTTTCAATCCCTGTCTGTTGTTGTCGCCTCGTTCCCCGGGTGGCCTATTGGATCGGAGGCTCTGGTGTTGAGACACACACTCGCAGCGTACACGTGCTGCTGTGGGGAGAGAGCTATTTTGAGCCTGGCCAAAGGGAGGGCAGGCAGGCAGGCAGGCAGGCAGGCAGGCAGGCAGCAGGCAAGCACGGCAGCATCACGAGGACGAGAGAAGGTGGACGAGGGGGGGAGAGGCAGCAGAAGCGAGGGCTGGCTGACGGAGACACACACAACGCACAAACTGCCGACACGGGGATACACCCTAGGGACATAGGCAGAGATGGCGTTGACGTCTCGCATCACCCTCACAGGCGCTCCTGCCGAGGATCCCGAGGACTTCTTCGGCGCGTCGCTTGGCGTGATTTTCCCGGACGATGTGATGAACCAACGTGAGTGTTTCGATTTGTGATATGTATGAGATGCTTCGGGGGGGGGGGCGGTGGGCGGCAGGGTGTTGGTTGTGCCGTGTTGGCTTGGGTGCGTGCGGTTGGTTGAATGGCATTATTGTTGTGTACTGTACTCTACTACCACTGTTGCTGTTATCATATTGACCCGCGTGTTGGCTGCGGACCAACCTGCCCTGTCCTGCCCAAGAACAGGCCCTGTGCACACTGCGCAAAAGAGACAAGAGACAAGAGACATCCTCGCTAACGCATCGCAGATGGTGACGCCGACCACGGGCTCCTGTACCAGTCGCCGCATCTCCCCAAGCCCCTCCACATCAGCCTGGCAGACCCGACGGGCGACGACGACCGCCGCCTCTTCAGCCACTACCTCTGGAACGCCTCGCTGCTGCTGGCCGAGTTTGTCGAGTCCGGCACCCTCGGCCTGGATGACAGCGCCGGCGTGACGAGCCCGCTGGGACCCCCGCTGTCCACCTTCAGCGTCCGCGGCCTCTCCGTCCTGGAGCTGGGCGCCGGCACCGCCCTGCCGTCCCTGCTGGCCGCCCTCCTCGGCGCCACCCGCGTCGTCCTGACCGACTACCCCGCGCCCGCCGTCATCTCCAACCTCACCGCCAACGCCACGCGCAACGCCCGCCCGGAGCTCTCGCCCTCGGGCGTCGTAGCCCCCGTCGAGGTCGACGGCCACGCGTGGGGCGAGCCGGCCACGGCCCTCGCGAAGGCGAACCGCCGCGCCTTCGACAGGGTGCTGGTGTGCGACTGCCTGTGGATGCCGTGGCAGCACGAGAACCTGCTCTGGTCCGTCGACTGGTTCCTGGCCGACACGCCCGACGCGAGGTGCTGGGTCGTCGCCGGGTTCCACACTGGGCGCGACAAGATGAGGGGGTTCTTTGACGGTGAGCGCCTGGCGCGGCTGGGGCTCGAGGTCGAGAGCATCTGGGAGAGGGACTGCGACGGCCTGGAGAGGGAGTGGGTGCTGGACAGGGGCATCGAGGACCCCGTCGGCAGGAAGAGGTGGCTTGTCTTTGCCGTGCTGAAGAGGGCTGCGCGTTGAAGAGGAGTTGATGTGCTGGTTCTTCTTGTTGGCAAAGGCAAGAGGGTCTGATACCACAAAAATGAAAGCACGGTGTGGATCAAGGCCATGTGAGTCGTCCTGGGCCCGGCCTTTGTCACCCCGTGTCTGTGTATGGTTTGGGAGGTGTTTGTGAGTGTCGAGCGGGCAGGAAAAAGCTCCCGTCCAGGCCGATGACCAGCATCCGCCGGGACATGAGACCGCGCACCATGGCTGCGTGGTCCAGTACATACAGTCGCCGCTTAGCGACAGCCAATGGGTTCCGGTATCCATAGCCGCGAGCCTGTGGTCTGGATCACCGATGGGTATAGGCGCCGGAAAGATGCCTGTGTACTTGTGTGCGGCCATCACATGGACCGTCCAGCATAGGAATTCAGGAACACACACTATCGAACCTGGAATTCCCCCGCTGTAAGAGCCCTCCGGGCTTGGTATAAGTCTCCCGCCCGGTTACCGATGATTCTCCTACTCACGGGGTCGTAGCTGACGGGCAGCTGGTGCGATGCAACCTGCATGGGTACGACGGCGCCGCGCCGGAGAAGGTGGCTGGGAGATGTGAGGCGGCTCCAGTCACCTTGGAGATTTCTGGAAGCAAAGTACGCCGGCTGCTGCTGTAATGTTCCCAAATTCATGCACATGTTGTGATATCTGAATCTTAAATGGGATCCTGAGTGGATGTTCTGGCTAATTCGTGCACTGTCAACCAGCCCTCTCGGCCCAGGTTCATATGGACTTATATACACAGATCATGGTCGACAATCCGCTCGGGCGCTGCCGAATGCTGCTTGTCGAGGCCACGATGCTCTCCTTCCCGGATCCCGCCTCCAGCTAGCTGCACCCTGTCTTGTGCCACCAGGATCAACACCTCATTTCTTGTTTTTGGTTTTCTCTGTAGTTATTCAACACTTGTTTTGGCCACGATGCTCATAATATTCTCGATTCCCACCCGTGGCCACAATGTATGTCCTGGACTTTCGGCCTGGAACCGCGCGGTATCACAACAGGGACTGTCACAGGTGAGACATAATCCTATTTTCGAGGGTCCTGATAGATCATGTCGTACCACATAGAACCGACTCGGTCGAGATCTTCTTGCTGACTGCTCGTGACCCCAGAGGAACATACGCCAGCTGAATGGGGAGAGCACACCCGGAGGGTGCCGAGATTCCAATTTCTCGGTACGGGGAGGAGACACTGCGCTCGAGGGCTCCGAGGGGTCCTCGACATGCTGCGCCAGGTGGGTGGCTGGACTCGGGGCAGACTTGCTGGCGAACATCACATCTGCCATCTTCCTTCCTACCGCTGCTCTCATGTCTCCCACCCAATTCTATTCGTTTCGAGGCCGAGCCCATCGCACCACAGGAAGTGACACGATCTATGATTCCAATATGTTTCATTCCATCGCTTGTTACCAGTATGACGGCGTAGATCTACCCCGCTGTCTTTGCAAGGCCCTGGGAACACCCCCTTCTATCGTGACCAGCTTCAAGGTGGAAGCCGCCACATCAGCGCCATTAGGCAGGAGCAAGGACATGTGACAACTTCACCATCGTGCTAACTGCCTGTAGAAGGATTCAGGCATCAGTCTCCTGCTCCCTTCTTGCGGAAATGTTGAAGAGCTAGGTGCAATAACTTGGAACATCCAGCACCGCTCTCGGTCAAGGCTGCCCAAAGCTCGTTAGCCTCTTCGACGGCTTTGCCCGCAGGCCTCCAACTCATGTGACTGTCCTGTGATCTCTTGTTCAAAGAGTTGTATCGAATACCGGGAGCTGCTGTGGGCAGCTACACGGATATAGAAATCTGAGGGCGATATAAGCCACTGAGGAACGGGGACGAGTCTCAGCTGAGTCACCACAAGCCTTCCAGTGCTACAAGAAGGACACAAGGATAAAAGGAAAGGGAAAAGGAGACTGTGGGGGAAAGAGGCAGCCGAGGGTGTGTGCTGATTCCCGCAAGTGTTCCACAGTCACAACGCGGAAGGCGTGAGCATCGGTTCATTCTAGTATGTTTGTACATCCAATTACAGTCGGGCATCACAGCGCCAGGCCGACCTCAACCACCCGTCTCGACCGTGGGGCCCTTCTCGTCCACCTTGGCGATCAGGTCCCAGCTCACGCGCAGGTTCTCCGCCGAGCTCAGCCTGCTCGCGATGTCGGTCTCGTGCCTCTCCGCGACCAGCCTCCTCAGCGCCGTCGCCAGGAAGCCGGCCACCACGTCAACGGACCACTCCTCCGGGATCAGCTCCAGCACGTCCATGACGTCGAACCAGCCCCCGAACCGCTCCAGCAGCGCGCCCGTCTGCTCGACCCTGTCGCTGACGTCCTCGATGGCGAGGAACTCGCCCAGCAGCGCGCGGAACAGGCCCGCCTGCGTCTCCTCGCTGGGCAGGGACTCGCGCCGCCCGGACTGGGGGATGTAGATGCTCGCGCCGCCGTAGAGGCAGTACGACACCGCCGTGTCGAAGTCTCCCAGCCGGTGGACGAGGAGCCGGAGGGCCTCCTCGTGCTTGCGCTCCCGCCCGTCGAGGATGATTGCTTCTGGGACCAGCAGCTGCTCCTCCGCCTTGTCGGCAGGAAGGGCCTTGCTGATCCTCGACCCGATGGCCTTGAAATCGTACTCGTGCGTCTCGCCGAGCAGCTGTAGCAGGCGTAGCCGGCTGTGCCAGACTTCATCGTCTGGAGGTGCATTGTCTTTCAGGAACTGCCTGTACGTTGGCTTTGGCGCCTTCAGCGCCCTGTATGCTTCGTATGTGGAGGCTATGGCCTCGCGAGCTTGAGGAGAAGACTGAAGCTCGCTGATGACGATGTCAAGGTAGTATGTGATCAGCTCATTCACATACTTGGTGTGCCCCTTATCAAACACCAGGTGCTCGAGGTAATATTTCACGGCATCGGGTGCTTGCTCGCGCAGGATGCCGACGACGTGTGCTGGCTCAAACTTGGGGGCACGGCCCTTTTCATCTGCGAAGACCTGCACACCAAGTTTCGGGTTGCGGTTTGCAAGCCAAATGCCGAATTCTTGCACCAGAGGCTGACTGCTGATTTTGGAGAGGTACTCGCGCACGCGCATCTCACCATCTCGGAACTCGCCGCCGTTGTCTTGCCCGCCTTCAATGATGCGCCGCCACGTTGCCAGGACGTCGGCCGACATCTTGCGGCTTTGGTATAGTCGGCTCAGGACGAATAGACGGTTGTACTGTTCGAGCAGGTCCACGGCTCGGTCAAAACAGTCAACGCCCTTGTCCACCAGCTCGTAAAGCTCCGATCGGACGCTACCATTCCTGCCCATGCCCTTTGGTGAATCTTTGTCAAGCTCTAACAGAACCACCAACAGTGCAGCGTCCACGGTTCTGAACACTTCACCTGCGTTTGCTGTGCTTGCCATGCCTTTCTTGCGACGGACGCCCCAGAGGTATGATTTGGTAAATAGGAGGGTTGTTTGTCCCAGAGTTTCGAACGTTTGACCTTCTTGATTAAACTTCTCAGAGGCCATGTACTTCTCAACTGTTGCTTTGACACCCCCAAATATCCAAATTCCCTTCCTAGTTTCGATTATTTCATTTCGTAGGCCTGGGATCAGGCCGAGAACCACTCTTGGGTCCAAGCTTGAATCTAGGTGTACTTCTTCCATGGCCTTAAGCTCGGGTGGGAATGGTGTCTCCTTTGAATGTAGGAAGCTGGTGAAAAGGAGCACGCTTGCCCTCTGCTTTATATAACTGAATGTCATGAACTCGAGTTCGGTTCGTGCATCTCTTCCTCTGATTGTTGCCAGAATGGAGAACAACTGACGGCGTTCCTCCACCGTATGAGGTGCTTCATGCGCTTCCATGGCTGAATACTCAATCTTCGCATCGAGTTGCAGAAGTAATGGGTTCCTGACGGCCCACCATATATGATTGCCAGACCAGACCGCCAGTCGGGAGGTCGTCCTGGCAAATCGCCTGGCAAAATCTTGCTCTTCTTCATTCCTCATAGCTTCCCAGCCATCAGGCAATGGAGACTCGTCGTCCCTTTCGAAAAGGTCTCTTTCCTTAGAAACTCTCTCCATTGAAAGAGCTGTCCGAGAATCCAAGCTTCTGAGTGACATTGCCGATGATTCAAGCTGGCCTGCAGAGAACGGCGAGAACTTCTTCTGGCAAAGCTTGTCCACAACTTCTTGAAGGTTGGACTCCTCGGTTCCCACCAGCGACTTGATACCAAGTGAAGGAGTCTTGGCATCATTTGGAGTTTTAGGTGGCTCGGTTGGAGGAGCCTCAAGCCAATGCTTGGTAGGCACTTCCTCACCAACATTCAAATCCCAGCGCTGTATTTCGAGGCCATTGTGAAGGCCATCATGAAACTCCTTGGCCATCGACGCAAGAACATAACCCTCTTCTTCTTCATCCATGGATGGCCTTGAAGATGACAAGTCCGCGACTCCTCCATCGACAACTATCTCCTTGGGATATCTGTCAAATTCCAGAGTAGGTCTCGTAGGGTCGCCGTCAAGATTCACAAAGATGCCAATGCCAGGATCATGAGGCCCGGTGCCCGTCACAAGAAGAAATTCTTCAGAGGTAGGCGATACTATGTGTGCCTTCAAAATCACCGGAGCGCCAGAAGGTCCCTTTGAAGCTTGGACCGCCCCGCTTGGAGGACTGGGTAAGGATTTATCTGTCAAAGCCGGGCCCTGAGTGGATTGTTTGTCAGGGCTTCCTGATCGTTGCGGAGTGTCGGATCCTTGTTGATGATCGGAGTCATAACCTTCGCCAGAGTTATTCTGCCTCTTCATGGCCTGGGACATGAAGTTTCCTAGGCTTGTACTCCGATTATGGCCATGGCCGTCATTGGTGCCTGAGCTTGAAGGTCTGTTTTGCGCCGAAGAGGCGCTACGCAGGATACCAACCTCAGAATTTCCAGCGATATTCTGAGCCTGGCCCATATTCGGCTGCGAATCGTCGAGAGAAGAGATGGCCATCAGGGGTATCTTCAACTGGCGGGTCACATCCAAGAGAGCGTAATTCCTCGAATCGGCCACGCATGCTATCGAGTCTCTCCGAACCGATATCGTGCTGCCAGCGAAATCAATTTGCTTCGCCAATGTCAGCACACATGCAAGCTTTGTTTCGATCCCATGGCCTTGTGATGTCTCACCTTGAACACTCTGGCATCCTCGCCCACCCGAACGACCTGGATCTTGCGGGCAAGCGACAGCAAGATGGTCTCCCCGAGGGGACGCCCGTCACCATGACCATTATCATCGTTTTCTGTGATGTTCAGATCCAAGCCTCCGATCCAGTAGCAGTTCTTGACCCGTACAGTCCCAAAGACCGGGCTGAGCTCTGGCAGGGAGTAGAATGTGACGGTATTGTTGCACAGCACGCATGCCTTCTGAACCCTGGACAGCAGGAGGATCTGCTGCACCCCGGGTTTGACATTGCCGGCAACTGAACTCTCGATATATGTCGGGCGCAATCTCGAAGCGAGTATGAAGACTGGCTGGCTGGCTTTGTCGGCGGGATCAGGCGGGATCTGGACGAAGTGGAGGAGTTCCGAGGCAGAAGTGCCTATGTAGAGGTTGCCGCCTAGCAAGTAGCAGTCAGCAAGGGCCAATGGCTAAGCCGGAGTTTCCCGGGGGGCCTTACCAAGATATTCGACAAAGTTGATCTTGACATCGTCGTTGTCCCCGTCCTCGGATAGGGGCACGTCCTCCAGCAGCGTGCGCAACACAAAGGGCCCAGTCGCCAGTTGCCGCCGTGCGCCGGAGCTGGTATCTGCTGTGTCTTGGCTCGCTTGGCCGTCGAAACCCATTTCCAGGCCGCTCATGTCATTGCAGACACTCTGTAACCATTATCAGCGCCGGTGACAACAGGCGTGGAGCTCTAGGGTCAAGGGTCGCGGCGCAATCGGTCGAGCTGATGGGTGTAATCCGACGTGGGCTGGCAAAGCGAGCTACTGCTGTAACTGTGGTACGGCTGCCTGCCACTAGAAGCTTGGCTCGGCCTGCAGCTACCTGGAAAGAAGAGGGACCCCTGTGACGTTCCCCGGATCGGCCGCTGGCACGTAGTCTACATGCCTAGGCAGGCTAGCGGACGTGCTCCGTACTCCGAACAGACCAGAAATAACACATCACCCTGGACCTGCATTCAACAACGGTGCTCGAGCCCACATTGCGATTCCCGCGTGGTGTCATGAGCCTCAGCTCTTCAGCTGTTGAACTGCCCTCCGTGTATTTCATGACCGCAACACAGCAATAATGGCTGAGCCAACGAACGATCAAGCTCCCTTGGGGCCTGGAGCTGCCTCAGCTCTGGACACGACCAACAAGTTTCAGGCCGCCATCTCAGCATGGAGGAGTATGTGCTGCTCACCACGCAGTTCTCGGGAGCCAAATTGCGCATAGCTGACTGTTTGACGCCTAGACATCGACATGACTACCCTGGTCTCCGGCCTCGACAATACGGCGTCCGAAATCGTGACATACCAGCGGGATTCAACTGTCCAGAGGAAGGACTTGGCCCAAAAGACTAAGGACTTCAGGAAATTGGACGATGCCACCAAGCTGTCTGAGATAAAGGGACTGTTGAAAGGTATTGGAACTACTGCGCCGCAATGCTCGGCCTGATCCTGACATGTTGGCAGCGTACCAAGGATTCATCGATCTGTTGACGAACCACTCCAAGTCGGTGAACTCTGCGTTTCTCCATGCCTACACGTCGCTCTCCGATGCACCAGACCCGTACCCTCTACTCGAAGCGGCCGTCGACTCCATGCTTGTATCCGAGGAGACCCTACCGAAAGTCACGGAAGAGAACCAGCGTCTGCAGGGCTCCGTGGCGGAGCTCACGTCGCAGCTAGAAGATACAGAGTCGAGGTTGCAATCGGAAAGAGAGGCTCGGAAACAGCTAGAGGAAAATCTTGAAAGCAAGGTGAAGGAAGTGGAGTCGTCCTGGATCGCAGTGCTGGACGAGAAGAAGGACAATTGGGCAGCAAAGGAGAAGACCCTGGAAGACAAGGTCGACAACCAGGAGCGCCTGCTCAATGAGGTCAAGGCCAGCTATGAGGTCAACCAACGCCTTGGGAAGTCTGAAGATGACGAGGACGAACCGAGGGGCCATGTCACAAGCGCCGAGCTTGAGATGGTGCACTCGGATCTGGAACGAACGAGCATGAGGCTGGCGGAGGTCGAGGCGCGCAACGAACACATGCGACTTGAGCTTGCGCAGTCCAAGTCACAGGTACCTAGCCAACAAACCACATCTCTGGAGGACGATCCGGGTTACATGCGCATGAGATCCGAGAACTCGTCTCTGATACGGAAACTGGATGCCTCGAGGGTAGAAAAGGAGTCCTTGAAGCGAGATCTGGATGCGAAGCTGCGCACGCTCGAAAGGGAGGTGAGCTCGTTGAAGGAAGATCGGGACTCGTTGAAGGCGAAGGTGCAGAAATGGGGCGACTACGACGATATCAAGCAAGAACTAGAAGTGCTCAAGAGCATCGAGTTTTCAACGGGAGATGATGATGAGACCAAGGATCTTATAGACGACCAGAACGGCGACGCCGCGAAAGGCAAGGGCGATACCCTAGAGCAGCTTCTATTGGCACGGAACAAGAAGCTGAGCGAGGAACTGACGATACTACGGGTGTCTCACCAGGACCTGCAGGGCAGACTATCAGACCTGTCGGAAGAAATGTCCCGGACCAACGCGGAGCTCGAGAAGTCTCAAAACCTGAACGAGAAGTTGGAGAACGACCTCGCCAACATCCAGTCGGAGCATGCCAATGCTTTCCCATCAGGAGCATCCGTGGCGGGCACATACGTGAGCAGATACGCGCCATCCATGGCTCCGGGACGCAGGAGTGGGGGAGGCCGTACATCACCTACATCCTCTATAATCAGCGGCTTCAACCCGCGAGACTCGGGCGGTGAGCCCATGGGGCGGGGGATCAGGGATTCTCCCCATGATCACGGCGCAAAGGGATCGCTTCAAGAAGCGCAACGCCCAGCTGGAACAAGAGCTTTCCGAGTCCCACCGCAGCGTCTCCCAGCTTCGGCAGGAGATCGCAGCGCTCCAGAAGGACAATCTCAACCTCTACGAGAAGACTCGCTACGTGTCGTCCTACAACCGCAGCAGCAACAGCACCGCCGCGGTGACCTCATCCTCTTCGTATGCCAGCAACCCCAACCCCTCGACAGTGACCATCGGAGGAAGCGGCGGGTCCGGCGGAATGGACCGGTACCGCGCAGCCTACGAATCGAACATCAGCCCGTTCGCGGCGTTCCGCGGGAGGGAGTCAGCGCGAGCGTACAAGCGCATGAGCTTCCCGGAGAGGGTGGTGTACTCGGTGACGAGGATGGTGCTGGCGTCCAGGACGAGCAGGAACCTGTTCGCGGCGTACTGTGTCGCGTTGCACCTGTTGGTTTTCTTCTCGCTGTACTGGATGGGCTCAACGGATGTGGACCAGCAGGCCACCAACTTCGGGCAGACGGCGGCCGCCGCCGCGGTCGCTGCTGGTGGGAGTGGCGGCGGGAGTGTTGGTGGGTCTGGCGGGACAGGGCATGGGAATTGGAAGGAGGGTGCTTTTGATGATAAGTCATGAGTGAGAAAGAGATCAGTTGCAAGAGAGAGAATACAAGAGATATCATCGGGGACAGTGCCCAGGAGTGGGGATCCCGGGGACGAAGGGTTCGTCATGATTGCCCTGCGGTTCGGGGTTCCATGCCCTGCGGTACAGGTAGGAGTCGGCTGCATATTGAAATTCTGCACTCCATCTCATTCGGCATGGTGGTGATACGATGATATCAGGGGAATATGTACGTCAATGGTCCCCCGTAATGTTGGTGAGCTGGGAGGAAGCTGACATGATTGGATGACGAAGCAGTCGGGAGGCTTGCCGGAAGCGGGTTCCTCGGCAAACCGGTCTTTGTGACTCACTCTCTGAAAAATTCTGCTTCTGAACCCCCATACTTAGATGCCCAATAATCAAGGATTACCACAGCTACATAGCTCAGGGGAAGAGTGAGTCAATTGCAATCTGTAAAATTGCCTGTAGCATCGCACTAACAACCATAAAGGCGCCGGGCTCATAACCCGGAGGTCGCTGGATCGAAACCAGTTGTAGCTACAACACAACTTTTTTTGCCTTCTTTTTTTTTTCAGTTTCACCTTCCATTTTTATTCTGCTTCTGCTTTGCAGTCAACTTGTCGTTGTGCTACCATGATCATCTAGAGGGATATGCTTATAACTGCCTTGTCTACTTCAGTTCTTCACCTGGTGCCATCCTGGTTGGTGGCTCTTTCTGTCTCCCTCTGCTTGTGCTAGGTTCAAGGCACTGAAAATATCACCACTTTTTTTGGTGCCACACAAATGATGCGAGCATTCAATTTTCTCGATATGTCTATCGAAATGCCCCTTTAATGAGTGTCTGGGCAGGCATCTTCTACCTGGTCAAATAAACTCATTAGCTGACCTGTAATGTGAAGCAACTTGACAGCCAAGAGAGCTGTGCTAGATAGATCTATCATTATGACCAGAGTTGCTCTGCCCCTAGGAATTTCCTAGTATGATACAACTTGCAGTGCTCAAGGCTGCTGTCTTCAAAGTGCCTTCAAGATGTCTCTATAGTTCTGATAGGTCTTTACCCTCAATAAAAATCAGAATCCTACACTTTGAGATATCCATATGTGCGTCTGCTCTTCCGTTGTCCACTTACAGGAGGCTACTGCTCTCTCAGGTGCTTAAAACGATTTCTTTCGATGCTCAGTAGCCACATATTGTACAAGAATGAAGAACTCATGCTGATTTCTTTCTCCCCGTAGCGCAAGGCTGCGAACCAGTTGAGTCTGATTAGGTTCGCCACTATTGTGACACAGCTATCGTTCGACCATCAACTCTCCAGCAAGCAAGGAAAGGAAAGCGCAAGTTGTAAAGCCAATCTAAGCTAAGAAGTTGGTAATTTATGGACTACTGTGCAGACGAACTTGGCCCAGTCTCACGAGCCCCTACCTCAGACACTTTTGTTGCTGGTAGCAGAGGTTGGGCACTGATGATACTGCTACGGAACTCGTGAATCTTCCATGCTTTTGAAACTCCTACATATTACACATACCTTGGATCTTTCAGGCATTAACATACCCTTTGGTGGCATCAAATGATGTTTTCTGAATTATAGACATGTGAATCTTTTGTCTACAGGACACTGAAGTGTTCATATCTATGCTCAAAGAACCAGAGGGATTAACGAAGGAGTGATTTTGGAGCCTGGTGTGCCATTCTATCTATCTCCAAATCTCAAATGAGATAGCTCATTGGTTGAGAATAAACTAAAAGCACTATGATTCTCGTGAATATATCCGCAAATACTTGGATGTTATTAGTGGCCATTCAGAAATCCACATGCATTACTCTGTTGTCGGTTGCTCATGTATGTCTTCAGCTGTCTCAGCATGTACATGTTTTCCTTACCCATGGATCAAGACACTGAGTTGCGAAAGCCGGAGGCAATGGTAAGCTAGACATTATCGTTAGCTGTAACTCGGTGTCTGATCCATGACAACCACAAATGATCCAATTGGAAGCAACTCACCTAGGACAGGGCAGGACAGCATGTCCAGAGCCAGGTGACAGGCAGAAGGTGATGAAATAAGACGCATTTCTACTTAGGTAACCCTCTGCACTTTGAAAGAAATCTTGCTAGGTCTGGGAATGGTTGAGTTTGAGAGTGAAGGATTCATCCTCATGATCGAACGCTCTGCAGCCACCCTGCAAGCTTCGGCAGTACCAGATTGCCGCTTCTATTCTTTGACACCAAGTACCGGTGACCAAGGGCTGAACGCAACGGTCAGGAGACAAGTGTAGGAAGACATGAAATAAGCTTGCATTACCTAGTTACGTGTCCATAATGGACAGTTCCCTTCCCCAGGACCATTTCATAGTTATTCATATCTGACTCCGTTCTTGGAACTATCAAGTACAATAACTAACTCCACCAGCCACCCTGAGTGCTTGGATGAAGAATCTGGTGTGGTGCTTATAATGAAAGCACTCCTGAATGCTCTGCACGCCTGAGTTGGCTATTTCCCTGGATCGACCATACATGAACATGGAGGAGCAAAAAAAGTGAGACAAGATGACCACAAAGAGGCTCGGATCGGGCATTGGAACATTTCATAGGGAAACTAGATGACATTTACTGCAAGACACATTGATCGGTCTATATATGGTGTAGTGAAGTTGCAGACATGAAAAGGGATTGCCTCCCTCACCGCACGTGATTTTGGTACGAGTGTCTCTAGCTCATTCACGAGGTCAACATCTCAGACGGCACTGAGAAATATTCGCTAAAGCTGTTTGGGCAAGGTTTCGTGGACATCAAGAATCAAATTGGCTCCCGTAGGCCACGACTGAATGCCTTCTGCCATGAAATTTCCGGGACACCTGACCCGGTCAACCTGGTCAACAGCTTCCAAGGCTGCCCAGTGATCAAAACGGTCGCTACTTCCGCATAGCACAATGATGCTATTCGGAGAGCGCGGTCTTGAAATAGATCTGCAATATGACTCTTATTATTACGCATGGTTCTCTCAGCTGTCAACTTATAGCTGTCAGACCCTTGAGGTCTCTCGGCGCTGTTATATCTGAGACGGCTCAGCCTTACCAAACAGGCGCCAACCGCTATGGTCTAGCATGCACTGAGTCGGGTAGCCCAGCAAAAAATGTTTCAAGCAAAGAAACAATCGTACGTGCCTTACCCACATGCCGTCACGATGGATCCGGGGTTGTCAAGCAAAACCCACCGTCGATGGCCAAGCACCAGCCAGCTATTTTATCTGTGGCGAGTGAGAAGGACGTATCCCACCCAGCAAGGGCACGTGCGAGCCGATGAGCAGTCATTAGTATATCGTACCAGCCGGGTATAAAATTATGTTGCAGGCCAGCGACCCCACACGCGCGGCCGATGGCGCAATGTCGAGCTGAGCATTTGTGGATGAGCCCATTGCAATTGGGGCCGCTGCGGTGTTGATCCTTCATTTGGTGCGACGTCGCGAGGGGGGGGGGGGGCCCTCACTCTTAAATGAATAGCCTGTCGCCTGCCATCCTGTTCTGCCTGTTCCCCCGCCACTCGGATCGGTGGCGCGTCGCGGGGGCCAAAGCCACCGTGTCGAGTCAGTCTGGGCGAACACCAGTCATCGACAGCACGTGGGGTCCTCTGCGGGAGCAAGGCAAGGACGGGGGCCAAGATTTCGTCCAGGAACGAACGGCTGTAGAGGGGTGATGGCTGCTGTGGCCGGCGAGGCTGAACGTTCCGCCTTGCGTGGGGCCGGGAGGGGACACGACAGCCTGGTGGTGGTGATGATGATGCTCGCTCGCCTCAACCGAAAGCAGCGTCGGACGCCCGTGATAACTCGTCAGCCCGTCGATCAGCACATCACACGTGTGGCGGGCGATGCAGGTGAAGATGAAGAGCGGCATGTCAGGTGCTCAGGTGCTCTGGCAGGAACAGGGGCCCCCGCTGGTTGACGATGATGATCTCTCTGTTCGCGCTCCCGCCCCACGTCCTTTCTCGCCCCAGGCGACCGACCGTTTTGCCAGACCGTATCGCAGCTCGGCTCTGCGCATCCCGGTCTAAAATCAATCAGTTCCAGTACCATGAAAAGCCTCCGAAGCTGCAGGCTGCAGCAAAAAAAAAAAACGAGTCAGTCTGGCGATCCCGAAGATGGGACCCATCTCCCCACCAAGCTTCATCGTGGTCGGCTGTCCCCGGCGGTTTGCAAGGGGGCGGTGGGTTTGGACGGTCCCAATGGGACCCCCAAAAGCGGAAAAAAGTCTTGACCCTGTGGCTTGTGAGAGCGAGTGATTTGGAGGAGTGTTCAGGACTCACAAGTAGGATTTACCAAGAAGATGGTGCCCCATAGTATGGTTTCACATAAGAGATGGTTATTTGCCTTCTCAAGACGTTATTCCTACTCGAGTTTATCAAAAGCACCAGTGGCTTGTCGAATTTGGTAAATACAGGGAGCTCCTCGCGTTGGTCGAGATTTTTGAGTGTGGTAGTTCGTTCGACTATGTCGAGTTACGCGCTAAGCTTCCGGATCCTCACAAGCTGTACGGGCAAGGCCCACACCACCACCATAAATAACCATGTACGGGGTCGAATGGATGTCGTTGTCACCGCTCTTTGCGCGGGAGTCGCGTAGTAAAACAGCAAGAAAATTCTGCGCCCATGCGTGTCTGGACACGGTATCTTGATACGCGATGACTGGGCAACGAATCTCTGGGCAGATCAACCCACCACTTCATCCAATCCACAGGCGCTCCACACCCTTCCCACATGCGACCCGTAGAAGCACTACACCGTATTGGTCAGTCGCCCAGACTTAGACGAATCCGGCCTAGCGCTTCAAAACCTGGCGGCAGACAGTCAGCCAACCAGGTTCCGCAGCTCCGGAGCATAGGAATATAGATCCAATGCCGGAGCGGTCTCTCAACGACCAAGGCGTCTTAACAGGCGCCCGGCTAGCTCAATCGGTAGAGCGTGAGACTCTTAGAAAGAACCTCACGATTCTGATAAGATCTCAAGGTTGTGGGTTCGACCCCCACGTCGGGCTCGATTCCCGGCGATACTCGCCTCGTCTTTTTGACTTTTTTTTTTTGCTGCCTGATGTTCTTCTTCGCTCGGTTTTGCTCGGTTTTGCTCGGGTGACATTCTCGCGACCTGAACTGCCCGACAACACATTGTCCGGCGCACCGGGGGAACGCTGGGGCTGGCCGGTAGGTAGGGACCGATTGGGCCGATTGTGTCACGAAGGCCGTACGTCCCCCGAACAGAGTTCGGAGCCAGAGCACCCAGTTGATGCCCGAGGAGACAGTTGCTCTCGGGTGCTTCGGCATCGTGCTCTTGCTCACGGGGTTTGTTGTCTGTTACTCATGGTTGCATGGCGGGCAGCGATTCTGCGCCGTCGGTTGCTCACTCCGACGTGGTTGATATTCCACGCGATGGCTCATGACCTGCGCAAGGTTGTGCCTTAGCGGAAAGCATCAGCATCGGGCGTCAGATTCTTAGCAATCGGCCGCCGGCACATCTGGCCTGTCTTGCATTGTCTTGCATCGGGACCGAAGGCGAG